CGACAAACGAGGGAAGACATTTTTGAGCCACCTTTGGCAAAGTAGAGAGGAACGATTGNGGAGAGGACGGTAGCTGTAGTGCGGCATAGGAGGTGGGTTGCAAAGGCGGGAAGGGATATCGTTAGGATAGACAGACGAGGGAAGACATTTTTGAGCCACCTTTGGCAAAGTAGAAAGGAGCGATTGGCCATCGATGATCGGTCCTGTGGGAACAATGGTCCGTCCATTCGAGGACGCGTGGTCGATGGTCTAACCGCTAAGGCATGCAAAACATAACATAAGAGTACGCCCCCCCCCCCGCCCCAGGGTCAAAGCTTAAAGTTTAATTCCGGACCGGACATAAACCTTCGAGAACGTCGGCGAAGACATAGGACGGTAGACGAAGACGACGATTTCAAATGTGACTGCTGCTTTGAATGCGAAGACCGTGTTCATGTAGTCGCGGAATGTCCGTGGTACAAGGAGAGGGAAGTGTACGTGACTGAGCTGGGAAAAATAGATGGGACGTGCAGGGATATGTTTGAGGCATGGAATAGAGAGGAGAGGACGGTAGCTGTAGTGCGGCATAGGAGGTGGGTTGCAAAGGCGGGAAGGGATATCGTTAGGATAGACAGACGAGGGAAGACATTTTTGAGCCACCTTTGGCAAAGTAGAAAGGAGCGATTGGCCATCGATGATCGGTCCTGTGGGAACAACGGTCCGTCCATTCGAGGACGCGTGGTCGATGGTCTAACCGCTAAGGCATGCAAAACATAAGAGTACGCCCCCCCCCCTATATTATTTTCTGCGGGGCACAATGTTAAAGAAGAAATAGCGTCTTTATCCTGGGGAATTCCTTGATGTTGGTGTCCTTCAGCGAGGTTCGACTGAACCTAATCTACGTGGCTTCATTTTCGACGCTGCAAACGTAAGAACCTATTCGCTGTAAATTATGTTGTCATCGCTGGCAATCACGCGACAGCAGTCTGACGAGCATCGCCTTTCGGAAAGCAGCAGTTGAAAATGTTAAATTTTCACGTCGCCTCCAGCATGCTGGCCCACCTCATGCAGTCACTCTTTGTTGTTGTTGCTTCCATTCTTGTACTACGTCCCAACATTCATGCAGGCAAGAGCGGCGATCGCTCTCTATTTCCGAAACAACGGCCACCTCAAGGACCCGAGGGTGGTCGATGCGTTGGTGATGAAGGGGTATATGGATCTCGAGGAAACTACGATGCAGGTTCGTTCGTGCTGCGTGCACCTTAGCTTATGTTTAGCGTACATAGCGTTTGCGATGTTGACCATCACACAGCCACACCCTTCTCACTTCCATACTTCGACATGAGAGGGAGAGAGAACCTATGTCGCCGATTCAAGTATCCCCTTCCGCGTGCACTGCCTTGCCTATGGTACTCTTGCGCTTCAAAAAAATGCATGCTATCGACGACGATCAGAGAAGAATTCGCCTCTGCGAAATGGTGTAGTGTATGCACGCGTGCGAACCTAACCTTTTCCTGTTCGCATCGATTTCCCCCCTTCCGGTACGCTGGCAGTACAAACAAAAAACGCATTTGCTCAGGCTACTAAATCCATCAGCACACAACGACGCACGGGCAGTGAAGGACGATTTTATGGACAAGTTCATGGCCGGCACGTCATAGTGGGACCAGAGACGGAAGATGTTGGCCGGGAAGCCGAGAGAGCAAGAGGGGAGGAGATTGGATTAGTCCTCATGTTTTTGCGTCCCATGTGTTTCCGGACGTGGCACAACTGCAGAAACGTATGTATCCGCTTGGTGTTAAGACTACGTCAGCAAAATTGTGCGGAAATCCGTTGAGATTTCCTTCAAACTGGACGGGTGTGTTCGTCGTTTGAAGAGAAAGCCACCTTCTTGAGGTACTGCAGCGATGGTACGCAAGGGTACATATTTCTCGGCAGGAGGCCATTCTCCCATCGCCAGCGAGTGATAATGCCGTCAAGAGAAAGAGTTTGTTCGTGTGTTTCGCGTGTTTTACGCTATAGTACATGAGGTTAATTTCTAGAAGACGCAACGCGATTGATAAATGAAAGATACTTCTTTATACGGATTACTTATATACGAGGCATGCGGGCCCCGCCGGGGTACAACTTTTACCCCCTGGGCTTCATATGTGTAAGTCCGAAGGTCTCTGAAAGTCTGAAGTGGACTGGACGGGAAAACGGTCGGTTGTGTTTGGCGTTGCAGAGAACGGCGTAAATCTGCAATTCGGCTGTACGCCTTCCAGGGTATACTCAAACTTGTATTTTGCAAGCTTTTGCGTTCATGCACCTCCAGCTTTAGCTCGTTCCTGCTAGCAAACGTGATGTGTTGAGTATTAACCGGCCGGGTGTGCCCGTTGTTTTCATGTGAAGCACCCCGTTAAACCTCTTTCGGCACATTATACTCGCTCAAAGCGCGAACTGCAGTAAACAAACACCGATCTGTCCACAAAGATGTGAAGCAAGGGTACGCACCAAGCAAATCAAGCACACGTGCCACGGAAAGATGGAGAGGCAATGTATCGTTCAGATGCACGCGGAGGTTGCAACCGAGAAGCACACTTTGTGTATCCTTCATTGTTCTGGACGTTCTACCGTTTGTGTTGAGGCTCAGCAAACCCTTACATCAATATACGCATTGCGCGGTAGGTCCATCTAAAGCGCATGTTCCCCACAGGCACCTCCACCAGCAGTCAGTCAGCGGTTACATCCGCCGGACACGTTACACGTGATGAAATCTACGCTGTCAGAATGCTCGCAGTTACAGACCGAGAGCGGAGTGAGGATCGACGTGTGTTCGTATTTTGGACGTACTCACAGCATCGACATATTATTTTTTATTTTCTGAAATGTCACACAACAAATCCATCTCTATCGATAGAAATAAGTCCAAGATAGATTAGCAATGAATCCATGGCGTGAGCGAAAGGCTACCTGTATATCCACGGTTTCCTAGACAGCATACAACGACAACTCCCCTGTGGGTAACAGGCTCAACAAGGCAGTTTGGCAACAGATTATTGCAAACAAGAAATTTCCGAGCACATGGAGCGGGGAGTTTGGGGGTTCAGCAGTTGCTATGGATTCGATTTGGTGGTACCGGGTTTGCCGCATATTGCAGGATTGAGGGTAAGGGTATGTGTGTGCCTACAACGGGTATGATGACTGCTGCGTTTTGTGGCTCCTCGCTTGTTTTGTTTCCTTGTTTCCTTCTCTTTTTCCTCCTTACTAAATACTCTGTGTGCAATCAAGTCCTTTTCCCCGGCCATCACGCTACCACGGCTATCACGCCACGGCTTCCACGCCAATCCTGGCTATCACGCCACCCGGCTACCACGCCACGGGCTTCCACGTCCTTGCTTATACCTTGACACCACGGCTATCACGCCACCACCAGGCCTCCACGCCACATCCAGAAATACCATTCCCTAGCTATCACGCTCCATCCCAAAGTAGAAGGCTGTCACGCCCATCATAGTTCCTACACTACCGTTGGCGACTACCGCGCCGCTGACTCTTTTATTACCCGACCACGGGACCCCGCGGGCCAAGGCAACGACGCACAAAGCTACTCAACATCGTACATGTACAGCAGCAGTCTAGTAAGCACGTTCGTGTAAGCACATAAATGATGTGTAGCCCGCGGGCTGTACAGCAGTACAAAAAGACTTTGTTTGATGCTACAGCAGTTCCTTTTCTATATATGCATATCACACATGCAAGACAGAACCACATGGCATGATGCCATGCGCTTGCCAATGACCCAACAAGGTTAAAGATTAGATTGCACGGGATTACGGAGAAATAAATACACGCACAGAAAGACTACCGGGATTGTTACGGGCGGCGAAAATTTGCCAGTACTGGCACAGAAGAACCGCTCGCCAGTTCAACAATTTTTGGGTTGTGGTTGGAGGTAGACACGAAACCAAAGCCACAGCCAGCCCTCAGGCAGCACCAAGGCGCTAGGCCTAGGTCGCTGTACCGAGCTACTGGCACGCGGTTTTTCTGTGCCAGTACTGGCAAATTTTCGCCGTGGGGGATTGTTAGGGGGTCCACGTGAATCGCGCGCGACGGGTTGGGAGCTTAGGGACACTAATACCCACAAACGCTGACGAGGTGGCGCTTCATATCGTAACGGTTTCTCAGTTCTCTCACCGACGACGCGGGAAAATGACCGCCACTGCACAGCTCGTCTGCTATGTTAAGGTTGCATGCAGTGTCCTCAGACGACATGATTGATGCAGACGTAGACGATACTACACCTGACCAGACCAATGAGGAAGCTGGCGATGTTCCTAGCCAAATTGCTGCGGGCGAGCCTTGTGCCGGCGTCGGCGAGGCACTGGTCGGCGACGCGCAGGAGGAGGGCAGCACCATAACACGTGATGACTTGGAGAATGGTTGTGAAAATGGGCTAGACGTAGCCGAGGACACAGGTTGGAGTGGTCTTGAAAAGGGCGCTCCCGAGGATAACGCGTATGCTCCTCGATCTGAAGACTGTGTCGACGCCGCCGATGGTGCTGGCGACGATCTATATCGTCGCGTACGAGAGTTAGCCGTTGAGGCGATCAATGCGGTGAGACTGGTGGCCGAAGTCCATGTTGCTTGTTTCATGTTTCAACAGGGCATTCTTCTGTTTCGAAAACATGAGTTGCGTGTACATTAGAAACCATATCTATCTTTGGGCGTCCGTGATGTACTCGCCCAAGAGGTGCAAAATTGCAACATTTACCGTACACCAATTGAAGTACGTACGTTCGACGGTTCTTTGGGTATCGGGGGCATAGACTGCCTAATAGTAGCAAAATCTTGGACACGGTAACCCACATGTCCGTTTGGGGATAGACTGTTTCCAATCACGACATTGGTAGAGTACGCGTCGGGAAACCTACAGTACTTGTAGGCCATGTTGATCAGTCCTTCATCAACCGCGAACTTCCCAATTTTTTCGGAACATTCCATTTTCGCCACTCACCACCTACAGTACAATGCACCACTCGCACCGTCCCACACTCCCCAATCAAGGCAAGAGAAACAAAGCAGCTTGAGCTCCTATCCCCCGACGAAGCTCTTGCTGTGCCTGCCATGACTCACTGCCGGAGAATGTGCGAGCATGACTTCCTGAGTCACTGGGACATGGCCGGGCGAAAACCATACCAGAGGTACTCGGACTTTGCATATGGCCAGCATGTTTCGGAGGACGTGTTCGAATTCCGCGTGAATGAAGCCGCTGAAGATGAGGTGGGTGAGGAGACACTTCGCAAGGAGCCTACAGGTCCAACACAGGTGTACAGTAGAAGGTGTCGATTTGTTCAGCGCAGAATTAGCAGAGCGTTGTCTTCTAGGTGAACGGACGCACGAAATTTTAGTGGAGTCCTCCCATTCCGTAAGGTTGGGCCGGAGTGACGATGGGCAAGGGGTATGAATGCCCGTAGTGTCCCAATGATTTATAGCCAAGCAAGATATCACTCAACCGGCCAGAAACTAAAAAAGGATAATTCAGTATTGCGCCGGAGATGTGGGCATGACATGTACCCAACGGAAGTCAACGCGAACTCTTGAGGTGCACTATTGTAGCCCTGGCTACCCTTCTTTCGCCACCCAGATCATGAACAGGATCAAGGAGTGCATCGAAGGGCGACTTGGGGCAGATGCACTCGACCAAGAAGGGGGTAAAACGAACCACTTGCTGGACAACAAGCACACGCACATCGGTATTGGAGTGCATGTTGTAGATGACCGGCTCCGCTATGCGGAGGTGAGTCAATGTGGGATGGGGTGCAAGGAGACCTGGGGTTGACATAATCCTTATCGAAGCCCGGAACATTACAACAAATACATCCCTTTGAGCAAACAATATTACAAGTCCAGGTCAAAGATACGTGTGGTGACTTGCTTTCCAGCAATCATGCATGCACACCCTGAAACCCTATAACAACGCTCGTTCTTATGGTTTTCATCTGCTACAGATGCACAGGCGCGTGAATTCAGCAGCTTGACGAATCCACGTTTCGATATCTTCCGTCATGTGGACTTGCTTAATAGGTATACGCCGATCGCTACTTGGAGCTGCTCGACTCTCCGGCTGAGCTATCTGTTGCAGACGCAGCCTCGGGGTCCCACATCTCGGTGCAGATGACTTCGTCGGATGTTGGACCATACGCCTGCCTCGTGTTTCATGACCCGGTGGCGACTCCGCTGACCGTGGGGGAACTGCAGCAGCAGTTCAGCGGGCCGTACTCGGATTTCACAACATCACAGGTTGTATGTAATACGGAAAAGAAACATTGTCTGCAACGTCACACTCAGAAGCTACCTTAACGGTTAGGCGTTTCGTTTGTAGGTGGGCAGCTTTGAGAATATCATCTCGTGCGAAATTTGAAAGGTGTTTACGGTACCCCCTTCGGAGATTAGTCTATCTCGCAGCTGAGGTGTGGCGATTTGGTTGTTTCTCCCAATGGCTAATCGTCAACAAAGTTCGTGGTTACAAACCAGGCAAAATAAACCCGTGCCTTACAGACTAAAGCGTGGTGCTTCATTGCCAAGGTACGTAACCTCTGCGTCACGGTCTTGACTTGTTTGCTACTTCTTTTGGTATCTTGGCCCCCGTTTACTGAAAGGTGAGCATCATCTGGCCGTGGCAAATGGATGTCTTGGAGGACGGGGTTTTCGGTATTCCGGTATCGGTATCCCCGATTGAGGCCGGCACGTACTACGTGCAGATTCTCGTCCGTGAAGACCCAGGAAGCATACCCTATGACACGGATCCAGTAGGTGGACTCCCGTTGCCAGGAGAGAGTTTTTGCGGAGGTGCACTCGTGTTGAGGGCTTCCGAAGAAGGGGAAGCAAACATGGGGTGAGATTTTTCATTGTATCGAGAAGTCATCGTGAGTTTGAACAGTCATGTTGTCTGTCACTCTTTACTATGTGCTGAACTGGATAACACCAACGTCTGTGGGGGGTTACACCAAAAAATGTAGGCTAGCGAGCAAGAAACTCTCTGTGGCAAGTGTGTCGAGACGATAGACTGCCGTATGGATGATTGCAATAGGCAATTACGAGTCCATAGTTGAACGTCATCAAATCCCGCTGCCCCGGTGAATAGGATGTCTGATCTGGACGGAGCGGGTGGACTTTTGTCCAACAATGGAGGTGGGACCTTGGAAGAAAGGGAAGCAAGAACGATGGCATCGACAAGCGCACTTCGTCGCGACCTCCCACCTATCGTCAGAGTACGCGTCGTGCAGGACGCCGGCGGAAGAATGCAACAGGTACTCCTTTCGGGTACAGTATTCCTGAGTTGAGTAAGGAAGAAATGTAGCGTTGAAGCCCTTGGTGGATCCCTTCTTGTGTGCATGATTCTGAGGCCACGTAAGGGCTTTGATTTTTTTTTACACCAGAGAGTGAGCAGTGGCGACTCGTTGTGTCAACACACCTCAAAGTTGACACCGCTGCTAATTGCAGTGTGAGGTACGCGGTTGTGTGCCAATCGCAGAGCTAAGTTGTTTGTTTCGGCCGCTCTCTCTTTGGGAACACTCAAAACCAGGAAGCCTCCTATGAGAGCAAGGTTTTTATGCCTCGCGAAAGGGCAGAAGACATGGCGCAGTTGAATCTCGCGATGGAGTTCCTTCGCTGGGGCGCGTGGGACGACTTCTCATCGGTAGGACGTCCATGTTTTAATTATGCCCATGTCGCAGCTGCTTCGTCACCTCGTCGATCTGACCCCAACTCTGTAGGTACGCGGCAATCGTTCCTCGTGTGCGTGCACGTTTGTTCATGCAAATAATCTCTGTACCATTTGATAGAAGCGACGTCGGCACCAGTTGTATATGTCATTCTCGAATTATGTATATTTCCTAAGACCGACGGCCTTGTGTGCTTTCTCCTGTGATTGTCAAGCGGGAACATACTAGCGAAGGAACCGGTACCATTGTTGACCCAGCCGTCGCGACGAAGGAAGGGCAGACGGCGGGCGAGATGGAAGACCTGAACGAGGGAGGAGCGGCGTCGGAAGCGCCCGTAGATCCAGATAAAGCTGCCACTGACGGTCATGACGCCCCAACAGAAGCCCGTACCACCCCCGAAGAAGCTACAGATCCTGGCGGCATTGCTACACAAGAAACGGAAATGAAACAAGGAATTGCGGATTCCGAGGGCCGGGGGGGGAATGATGACGCAAGTGATGCACATCAGCCTCCGGTCGAGGGAGAGGGGAGCGAGAGTGCGGATCATGAGTTGATGAATGGGCACGACGCAGAACCTGAAGTACCGTGGGTGGTTACCGATATCGCGATTGTCAGGTTCAGGGAAGGCGAAAAGGTGAGGGTAAACGTGACCTCGGGTTGGAATAGTGCCCTACAGCCAAAAGGTGCCGGGTAGTTCTGGATAAGACTTGCACCAACGGGAGAATCATGCCTTGCAGACGCGAACCATGTGTACTACATGTGCATGGCCTCGCCATGCACTCTCGTCGAAGAACTCCAACTAGCAACTGGTGCCGGATGAACCGAAACAGGTGGAACCACCCGAAGATTTCGAGCTCGTACCGGGAGACCTTGCCAACCCTCCGGCCTTAGACGGCGACGATAGTACCAAAGAAGCGGTCGGAGAACAGTCAAGTGGAGAGGTGGCGGAAGGCAAGACCACCGCAGAGCCGATAGAGAGAGGGAAGGGGCACGAGGGAGAAGGGGGCACTTGTGGTCGAGATATGGTGTTTCTCTGTGTCAAGGTAAGAAATCCGTGCAACAGCAGTATCTGTACAATCCGCTAGCCCAGTTAGCAAGAACACACACCAACACAACTGCTAGAGCTGCTGTGGCGACCTTGCAATGGTAGTGATCAACGGTGTCTGCTTCTTGAATGCATCTCTTGCTCCAGCACCAACTGATGAATCCCAAACGATGAAACTATAGAATCAAGCGTCATGAGTCAAACAACAGCATGTGTAGGCAAGAGCAGCAACAAAGGCACGTCCACTTCACACGAAGCATAGAGAGCGTCGCCGTCTGAACTGCATCGACCATAAGCGGGGCGCAGTCAACGCTTACTGATGGTTTTCCATTCGTGCTGCGCTCCGTGGCGGTAACGACTGACGAAAATCCACAGATGGCGCGATACACGGATTCAGTTTCACCACTGACAGACCTTGCAGTGGTGTATGGCACAGAGGGCTTTCAGATGGGCTTTGGCTTCGTCACTATTGCGCTACCCCAGGTGATGCCTGACGGCTGTGGACATCCACGCCAACTTCTGGGAATATTCTCTGTTTCTCTAACGAGGACAGTATCGGGACGAAGATGGTTGTAAGGAGCATTTTACACCGGGAAGGTGTGCCTGACCTATCTCGAAGATTACAGAAACATTCTAAGCTGATGAACATGTTCCAACACCCCCAACGTGCAGGTTGTGAACGAGCTATACGATAGCACAATACATGTGTGCTACAAAAAAGCGGGGGCTGCATTGGCTGTGATCCAGCAGGTTGCTGAAAAGACCGCCGAAAAGGCGGCGAAGCAGGTCAGTGCAAAACATGACAATCGTGTAAAGCAACCTTGATGTGGCGATGTGTGGGCAAGCGAGCGAATGGAACGTAAGTTGCGATGAATAGGTCTGAGAGATTCTGAAAAGGTCGAGAAAATCGGAGTTCACCGAGTAACGTGGGCGCTGTGTCATGCAATAAGTCAAGAGTAGGGCTAGAGGGTGGTATCGTGGGAGAGTAAGGTGGTGGATGGAAAGGATAATCTTGAACATGGTCATCGAATGAAAATCGCGTCGAGAATTTTGAAGCCCGAGTCTCAGCCGAGACTTGTGGCCCATGTTGATGACCGTGATACCAGGGCAAAGGCACATGACTGCCCTCCAGCCCCGCTCCATCCATGATCCTGGATTTGACTGAATGTGTGCATCAGATCCAACGGCACCTCGGCATTGAAGGAGGGGACGGGGATGGCAAGGCTGACCCAATGGACGACGAAGTGTATGACGTCGATACGAACATGACGGCTGATCAGGTTCGTGATCTTCTCAAGTCACCTTTCCCCTACCCGGCACGTGAACAATGAGCTGCTGCATGTTGAGACAAGATGGTCATCGCCGGGCTTGTTTGGGCAAAGTTCACCCGCTTTGTCTCATTTTTGTTGCAGCTCCACTCTGCCTAGAGAGTGCAATGCTTCGCGTCCACCATGTATGGTTGCTTACGTATCACGCCTCACGTGACCGACATAGTCGGTCTTGCAAAATGTATCCATCTAACATTTTCCTCCCTACTTTGTCGCCCTGTAAACCAAAAGATGCTGGAATGGGAAGAGAAGCGGAATCGGGAGGCCGCGGAAAGAGCGCACAACCGAGAAAAGGTAGGCCTGACAAGGAGCTGATGTCATGATCAATACAGTCAACGGGTTACCTCCATATCAACGCTACGTCTGCAGACAATTAAGGTTACCAACTATCTTGACTTTTGGAGTATTTTCTCGGTCAAGAGACACTACCGCGGAATATTGGCGAACGGTGCAGCAGCATAAAGACACAACTAAAATCACACGCGAGGCGACAAATTGAGCGACCTTACATTTTGCGCCACGAACGCGACGTTGAACACCTCAACAGCTTCCCTTGGAACAGCCGCTGAAATCTCCCTGTTCCTTATTGCGGCAGTGCATTTTGCACCGTCGTTTTCGTTGAAATGGGTTCGAAGTGGCATCGGCGTCTCCACACTTGCATTGTTGCGTGATATGGCCGGACATCGTTGCACTCGCTTCAGGTGGAGAGGGACCATCGGCGCAAGGAAGCGAGCGATGCCGTGCGAAGGCAGATTGCAGAAGCCCTGAAAGAGAAAGATGAGCTCGTCAAGGTAAGAGAACTTTCAATAACGATCTCTAGAGGCTTGGCTTCGCACGTGGTGATCAGACGAGTCCGGTTCATAAATTTCTAGGGTCACAAATTCTTGTTCCATGCGCATGAGCTGGTCTGGTTGTGAACATGTGTTCAGCTCCGGTTATATTCCTGGTTCTCTCGTTCCGTAACACCAGAATCTGTCGCAAGTGAGCGAAACCGAGTCGCGCTCACTGACACGCATGCCCCTGGAGTTGTGAAGTACGACATGCATGCAAGCGTTTTGGCGTTCGTGAAACACAAGGCGGCCGTCGGTCTTCCAGTTCGTCCTAACGCTTACGCCTGCCACCTCTCTTCTTTCCGTCGGTCGTATTTCCCAGCAAAATGGCGAATGGCAGAAGAAGATTGCGTCTCTCATGTTGAGCCAACAGAAAACCAGAGAGGAGGCCAGGACCGAGCACGGTGGGAGGGGAGTCGAGAAGGAAGCAACCCCATTGCACGAGAGCGAGAAAAACTACGCTGAATCCCTTGCCTCTATCGTGTCTTGTCGGGAGAAGCTTCAAGAGCAGCAGGTGCAAGTGGTAGGACGGTACAGGTCGTCCCAGTTCAACTTGGGTTCGCGCCACTTGTGTTGTTTTTTCGAGTAGAAGGGCAGCCTTTCGCGACGTTTGCTTGCTAGACCAATTATCTTGGCATTGGTCAACAAGTGGTTGAAGTGACGAAGCGTTTTGTACTACAGGGAAGTGGTTCTGCCCAGAGATGTCGGACACACGACTACGGTGAACAAAAATGACCAAGAAAATTACTGGTGCGGGTTGAGGCAACGTCTCTGTATCACAGGGCTGATGTTCTCGGTCCACAGCATTCCCGCTGCCATGGTTGTCACACTCTTCGTGTCAATTCCTAACGACAGGCTGAGTACGATACCGTGGCAATTGCTCTTCAGACAAGGTTGGACGAGAAAGAGTACAAATCACGCGAAATAGCTGACTCTTTCCGGGATTTTAAGAGAGAGGTGAGTTTTGGTCGTCTTCGTGCAGGTCGTCCGGTGAAGAAAGACCGCGTTTTGTCCTTTCATAACGACAAAACTATCCGCAGGCGCCGTGGTGCACAAGACACAAACAGAGCCATGCAGCCATGGCACCCCGCAAGTAGATCGGTTTCCAGCATGTACATTCGCGGAGAGAGCAAAAGGCCCCCATCGAGCTGGTGTTCTTGCGTCGTTGTGTCTCCCCGTCTCGGTACGAAGGTGCGACTACGGTTGGTTGTGTGTGGTGACCGTAGAGCCGTTCGGGGCTCTGTGCTTGTGATTTTTTCTGCGGTATGTTGCAACCAACACAATGGCAATCAACTGGCCATGATCTGTTATCAGTCTCTTCGTGCGCTTCTGCTTTTGCTCTGAAGATTGCTCGGACAGCGGAACATAGTCGCACGGGCAAGGCGATACCGAAGGGGGTCATCTCTCAGTTTGAGGCAGCGGAAGCCAAGAAAGATCGGGAGATCGAAAAGGTACGAACTGCGAAGTCCTCAAGATATGCAGTGGGCACAGCTATTGTCACTGTTCGAGACAACATGGCTCTCACGCACCATCTCATCTCAAAAACCTCCAGAAATTCTCGTTTGGAACCAGATTGCGTGATGACACGTGTTTCATTGTCCTCGTCTTCCGCCAGGTGCGTTTGAAGAACATCAACTTGCGTATGATGCTTAGAAAGGTGGAGGGAAGTCTTCGAGCGAAGGAGCAACTCGCGGAAGGGTGAGCGCCGCGAACAAACGCACGTATATTTCAACTCTCGATCGGTCGTTTTCCCGACGCGAGAAGACGACTGTTATGTCGAGAATGGTTTTGATTTCAAACAAATGCAGTAAGGCGCTGTGTTCAGATGCAGGTTGTATCTTCCGACTCAAACTTTGGAACTGTAACTGTCAACAGGCTCCATCTCATCGACTTCGAGCAACTGAAGATTGAAAACCAAACGGTCAACGAGAAAATCGAGGAGAGAAACGAGGAGCTCCTAAAGCTCCGGAAGAAGAACACCACCACGGTTCAGGTAACCCACGCATAGAATATTGGCAAACGGGTAGGTCGTGGTATATTTGGTGGAAGATCGCACGATCGGTCGTTTAACAATCAAACTAGTCCAATAATTTTTGGTGAATAAGGTAATTCCTTCATGCCTTCCCCGAACCACGACCTTTTTTTGACTTGACGGCTTCAACAGATCCTTACCCACACTAAGGAGAAGCTGCAATTCGTCGCAGCGGAGAATTCCGTCACAAGTCACCAGGTAAGATCTGCAAAAGAAGGACAATAGAACGTCACCAGGGCACGGTGCTGGTGGCGTCATCAGTGTACGTAAAAAACGGCTGAACAGGACAATTTGGGAAGACATCGCTCACACCGCTCGTCTCGAACTACCGTCTGAGCTATTCAACCAACATACGTGAAGGAGGTGGACTGAAGGAGGTGGACTTTTTTGGGAACGGAAATTTTCTTTTCTTTCCGGTGTTCGCAGTCTCTTACCTTGATGAACGATGAAAGAGCTCGTCTACTGGAAACGGGCGTCTGTTGCTGGCTCGCTACATTCACATGCACTTGGATGTAGCGAACGTATTGAAGCTTCTACATCATCCAAGGAGGTGACCTTGCAATCATCACCTCCGGCATGTCGGATTGCGAGTTTGATGGAGTATCCTCTCCCGCTCTAGACTGTTGGCCGTACACGTGCGCATCGGGCAGCTCGGTAGGGCTGCTGTTTGGCATGGGATAAGAGTAGCCCTCGACGCGGTTGACAGGGCTGCGGGGATGATTGATGTTGAGAGGAACGGCGTTTGATGGCATCTTGAGGGTGTGTTTCGCTACTGCTCACACAGACTAGAGAGATGCAGGTCATCAAGTACCAGTACCTCCCGCTGTGCGTAGGTCCGTAGTGTGCTTCAACTCGGGCTTTACCCTTTTTACCATTCGTCTGTGTTTGACAGCTTTCGATTCTGGAAGACGACCTCAACCAGGAAAGGGATCGTCTCACCCGAGCCAAGAAAGATCGAGACACCCTTCGCAGGGAAGTAGCCAGTCTTAGGCAAAGCCAGGGGTTTGCAAACAGGTGCGTGTTCGAAACATGAAGTTGCAAGGCTTCTGCGCCCAACAAACAGGCGTTAGTTGGACGATACTTTTAACACCAACGAACGTACCGGAAGTACTACAGCGCTTGGGTCCGTGCAACGGGAGCATAAGCTTGCTTGCACAAAATGATCAGGGTGCGATCCCACAACAATTTCCCTCATGTCCTCCGGTAATTTATACCACTGTTCTGAAGAGCACCGTGTACTCGTGCGGATGACAATCAATTTACCTCGTCATTGTCGTCCCCATTCTCGCGTGCCGTTTGTACCATCCAGCGATCTACTGATCCTGGACTTCGAGCAAAGAAAGTCGCACCTCAAGAAGCTAGGGCAGAAGCTAGAGGAGATGAAATCGAAGCACCACCTTCTGCTGCTGGAGCAAGTAAGGAAACTTCCGCCCCGAGTCTACCGATGGTGTGACGTCCGTTTCCCCTCGACTGTAAGCCGGAAAGTTGAAAATGCAATCTTCACGGTGGCCGTTTGCCCACTTTTCGTTCATCGTGAAGCGGGTTCCGACAGCCCCTCTCATCCCGGTTTCTAGGCAGCGGACCCCACTGGAGGAAGTTGTCGCACTGCCAATACAACAGCGACATCACTAAGTGGGAAATCATGGGGCATATGATAGAAGCCTAATAGTCAAGAAGTAGACTTCACTGAGAGATTACCCCCCCTTTGGGTCGTCATCTCGTTGTGTTGTTTCCAGCCGGCCTTATCTTTTCGAGATGATGATTCAAGTGTAGCCTGAAAATCGGTTGGCATATTAGCGACCCAAGTGTTTCCAGAACGCTTTAGTTGGATAATCCCGTGGCTTGAACCGGCTCACGTCAAGTAAGATAGACTCTCGGGTTGTTGCCAAATTCATGCTCGCTCCCACATGAAAGCTGAGTCAGCCAAGCTATTGTACAGTTTCGACCCCTTCATACGTTCGCTCTGCTTGGAAAACGCAGGAGAGCATCGAAGAACGCACGCAAGAGCTAGGAGCGGTGCAGCTGTGAACAAAGCTTGTCGTGATTGCTCGTGTTCGCAATTGCTAGTGTAGACTGAAGGACGTGTAGCGGCGTAGGCGACCGGGGAGTTCCTGCTACGAGATCGCCAGCCTGCACGTAAAAGGTTTAGTCATTGTTGGCATTGTAGCACCCGCTATCGTTGAACGTCATACAAGTATGGCGTCTATGAAGAGAGAAACGGGTGATGTAGTCCGTGCGCGTTGTTTTATTTCGTATCCGGCACTCAATTCGGCTATTGACAGCTTAAATGGCGTTGAGCTCCAGGAGTTGGAGTGTCTTGAGGTCTGGTGGATTGGCAGCTCAACTGTGCTTCTTGGTTTGGAGGCTTGGCAACGAACACGTGCGCACTTGCCGGAGCCATGCAGTCTCGTGGGGAAGTCTTGTTGCTAGTCGGCGATGTCCCCCTTCTGAGGTAGGCGTTCATTTTCGTGTCATATTATTCCACCTGAACGATCGGCAGTATTATCATGCCCCCTGAGCACAGGTTTCGTCCTTTTGTTGGCGTTTGTCTCACCTCCCGGTAGGCGTGCAGCTCTCTTTGGTGAGGAAACTGGCCCACATCCTCCTTCGCGGCTTTTTCTTTCGCCCTAGGCTATTTCTTCCGAAACGGGGAATCGAATACAGATCATTTTTGGAGAACCTGAAAACCACTAATACAAGGTTTTCCAGTAAAACTGTACGAGCCATCTTGGAACGTTTAACACATCTTCCTCATGTGTCACAAGAGAGCCCTGCCATCATCGGGCCGGAGGCATCGCATGTTAGGTCGAAACGGAAGAAAATGTTTCCAAGGAAGCCCAACGCTACAGTTGAGCGGGGGGGATAGCACAGTTTATGCTCACGGAGACAAACGTAAGACCCCCTTTGTTCTACATCGTTCTTTCTTTGTAGCCGAGAGGTTCCAAACGGACGTACCCCCCGAAGCACGCACCTCGTCTGCCTGCAAATTTCTAGAACGACGATCATCTAGCCTCCGTACATGACCTCAATCCCTACGCCTGGCTCCCCCTCTTCACTGAGGGCTGTGATGCTGCTGGGCGCGGTGTTCCCTAGGATACGAGTCGAATCGTCTTGACACGTGCTTGCATAGCCGTGGTTTAGTGTTTCCTCCGACTGGAGCAAATGAGCAACTTCGTCGCACAAGAGTTCTCTCCGTTGTCGTGCTTTGTCGAGGATGCTAAATCTGTCCAAACGGAGACAGGACGGGGGAAATGGGGCTGACCGAGTCGAAATTTCGTATCGTCTGGAGGGACTTGATAAAACATGAAGACACGTCGCACAGGATCGCAGAAAATAATATTGATATGATGATCACGCCCTCCGCCGGATGAATTTTGAGGGCTACAGTTCCCACATGACGTTAGGAAGGACATCGTGTCTCCCCCAAGTCCAGACGTAAATACCTCTGCTGCCGCTCAAAAGTGTAGGCTAGTATGCCTGCTGTCGCCTCGACACGCGAGCTGAAAGTAGTCCCAACCCTCCCGCACAGGGTTCTCTTCTCCAGATCCTGCATCATCACCGTACAACAGCCGCCCACTTAAGCGCGGAAAAGTGCGGACTCTTTTCGCTTGGCCTGCAACCCATCTTCGAGGAGCTGTTTTGGTTGTTGTGCATCTACGAGGTGGTTTCGAAAAGATGTTCGATGTGCGATGTATCGCTGATAAAGCGCAAGTCACCCATTCACGCGAAACGACGTTGGAAGCTCGTCCCCGAAGGAGAAGTGTGCGATGTATCGCTGATAAAGCGCAAGTCACCCATTCACGCGAAACGACGTTGGAAGCTCGTCCCCGAAGGAGAAGTACTGATTGACACTGTAGACGATATTCACAAAAAAAAAAACGAACATTATTCTCTGACGTATGCAAGGCGGCCTACACAGAGGGATACACATCGTTTTCTCGCCTGCCGAACGAGCAGATTTGGCGCACAGCCCCGACGTGGCGAAGAGGAGTACCACAGGGTTAGAATGCCAACGTTCCGAGGCCCCCCATCCTGTCCAGCGCGAAACGATCCGGATCAGATGAAACTGGCCGTTGTGCGTGATGTTCCAATTCTAGCGGATGTAGCGGGTGGTGGACATCGTTGAAAACTCCATCTTCCAGTACAAGCTTAGCCAATACATTTGCTGACAGTACTGCACCATTATCCACAGAGGGGTATGAGAAACTCTTAAAGAGGAGTCCGTAAAGTTCAGGAGGGTGAGCAATATCTAAGTATGTTCAGCGTGTGTGTTTAACCGTGATGTAGCTGTGGCAAACCTAAAGTGTGCTTTTCGTTCCGCAGCAAAAATCAGGGAGAATGAACAGCTTATCGTATCAGCTTACCGTATACCACACAAAAAACATGCCTCGATGATAACATGGCCTCCAACTACTATCATCGCGTGTATTGTTGCTGGGGAGGGTATCATATGCCCCTCTGTAGTCGACCTACAAATTGATATGATAAGTATTTTGATGTTTTAGCTCATGTTGACCCGTACAACATGACCCCCGGGTGGGTGTGGTATTGTGTGTGTGGGTTATTGTGTCGAATATGGTAGTAGGCACAACAGAGGCCACGTGCAACGTTGCAGTCGACGCACGTACCTGAGTCCAATCAAGAGGCAGCTCCCAACCATACAGTGCCCCGATTTCCGGGCTTCTCGTGTATGTTTCATCCAACCAATTTTCTCCCGGCTCTGTTATTGCCAATCGGACGAGGATTTTTGCCATCTCGCGCTCATCCCAAACGGCGAGGTTCAAGTGGTAGTACCTGTCATGGTATCTCGAGTGTTAGCCTTTGGATAACTAGTTTTGGGGGGGCGGGAATTGTGTGTATCTTCCGGCACAATGTGCGCAAATACGTAACACGATTTGGCTACATATTTGCTGGATTTTGAGTTCGTTACATCATGGAGCATCTGCAACTACGGTAGATGGCACATGCTTGCCCTGCAATAAAGAGACACTTGCTTACCATCCCACCCTGCCTAAGTCACGACATACCGATCCGCGAATACGGGGTTGACGACGTTGAGGTACCCGCGGCGCGCTAACACTTCGCGCTCCTCATCGGGTCGGAGAGCGTCGACTAGAAGGCACATGTTTCCCGTGTCCGTAACCTGACAGAACGTTGGCAAGAAAGAGAAGGCCGCAGCGTTACATGAGTAAGGTTGTGTCAGTGCTGGCTTTCCATGAAGCACTTCTTCATTTTGTCGATGTCAGCGACAGACCCCCCCCCTTCTTTGAGGGCCTGCATTTCGTAAGCAGCACCGCACCTTGTGGTAGAATGTGATTACCACCTCCGCTCGAATCTGACCTTCACGCGGAAAGTTCTCCAGGATTCGAACTAGCTGAGACGCAACGGAGAGGACAGCGCGAAAGTTAAAGGTACGATGCGATTGACATGCCAGTTTAACGAAAAATTTCAGAGAAACATCGTGCGTGTCACCACCGCTTGTTCCGAGCGTTACAAGTCGCCATTACATCCTCTCCAATAGCATTCCAACAATAGATCGACCCACAAGGAAACCACATCCGGGAGCCCTTGTGGTAGTTGTACTGGTGTACCTGATCAGAAGTGAGACAAGAAGAACAAAGAGCCACCTCGAGCTCCTTGAGCTTGTACCAGGCTTTAACGTACGTGCCAGAAGGCACTAGGTGGGCGAACGAATCTCGACGATCGATATCGACGCTTGTTACATCCACCGCCGACCACCAGGACGCTAGAGACACATCGTCAGGTGATGATCCGCTGCATGTAGTAGGAGCACAGTATAGGATTGAAGGGAAACAACCGACAAGATTTTTTCAAAGTACCACGTTAGCGTTTGATAGATCTCATGCCTTGAGCGGGACCACAACAAGAAGGTTGCATCTCGATCTCGATATTGCAGCCCGGCAGCGAGTCATCTGGACCATGCCCCATGCCCCAATATGGCCTCTCATGTTGATGCCATGCAAGTATCACTAATGTTGAGATTTTGAAAAAAGGTTGAGCTCACACCTTCGGTAGTAGTCCCGAACATCGATCTTATACAAAGGACTGGAAGAGGCCATCTTTCGAAAGTGTGATGTACACAAGGCAAGCAATGCTTCGGCGGAAATAACCTCCTCATCGATGGGGGTGGAGGAGGTGATGGGCGCCGATATCCCTAGCCTTTCCAACATTCGCTGCGGAAACAAACGTGACAGGTGGGACGTTGTCATGGCAGAGCGGAGGCTACATTACATGAAAGGATGGTTGATTCCATGTACGTACGTTCCATGATTGATGTACCTATCGTCTCTGTGGCCTGGTGGAGACGTAATTTTCCCCTTGTCAATGACACGACAACAGAATATAGAACACCAATGGTAGTATTTGAGCTGTCGTCACAAATACACCTATCGAGCAAGGTCGACTAGCGATCGCACTTTGGATTCATCCCTCACCGCACGCACCAGGCTCCCTGGCAGACGCGACCGTATGAACAACTGGAGTATAACGCTATTGTTTTTGGGCATTCATCATCAACAGATAACGTGCGGTACCTGAAATCTCCTCTCTGTAAGGGGAATCTGATGATGGTCGGGTCTAGACGTCGAAACGTAGTCGAAGCGGAGCATGCCAGAACTTGGTAGCTTGATGAACCAGGCAGACGTCAGAACCACCGGCTCACGATTGTACTCTGCGTTCCTAAAGTTTTGCCAATTGCCGTGTTGGGATGTATCTGCATGCCCGCTTGACTTGCTGCATTGCCGTTCTTGGTTTCCCACGGCCGCCATCTTAACAAGTTTAATGTGAAGAAAACAAGAACAGGGACAAGCCAGCTTGGTCAAAACAAAACCAGTTTTCCAAAACAACACTTCACGGGGTTGTCAAGACGACGCATCCCGGCATGTGGGTTTCTTGAATGTATTGGCAAAGTAGTGTGTCAATTACCTGGTGGCCAAAAGCACTTGGTCGTCGATGTTTGAATGCTATCCCTGGAACAACACTTGTTCGCAATAACGTTTGCGGATGACAGTTTCTGTACCCGTGGCCACCAGCTCTGTTTGTTGTACTTGTGGTACGTGATGACGTGAACGACTTCGAGGAAGCCTCGCGGTATCGTTTAGCTCACGGTGCTTGATCAAGGGGTGAGACCAAACATGCCTTTTTGGACATGAAGGGCTGGATGTGCTCGTCGCTGTCAAGACGAGCGCTACGCGCCTTCTCTCTGAAGTAATCTTCTTTCGTGATCCTACCTTGGAGGCTGCCAGTCGATCTCTTGGGTTTTGCATGTCCAGGGAGAAGTGCCCTGCATGGACCAGAGGCACATCGTTCAACGGTGGTGGCTCCGTGTTTCGCTGAATTTTTTATGACTACAGAAATATCTTGCTTGGACAGGGCCAAGCCTGATGGGACTTTGTCGAACAGAAACTAACGGCAATATGAGCGAACTGTCATTCCAACACGTCAACATATGGTACAACCTCCTCCGATAATCACACAGGCCACGCGTTGTAAATACTATTTCGGCAGCCTACGGGTCATACCCCGCCCCCGA